TTCATGCTGCCAGCTATGGCTGCAAAGTTTGGTCGTGCATGTTATGTATATCGTTTATTGTTAAATTTTAATCACAGTTCCTATGATCACTGTTACATTGTTTTTATAGCTTTATTTTGGTGATTTCGAAAACGTATGGTTTAGCCATGTTTGTTTGTTGAAGAACAGAGTTAGACTAATAACTTTAATCTAAATTGCCTTATGGTTGTTATTGTTTGACTTGCATCCCACTGAGGTTTTTGCACACAGCGTTGATATACGGTGTTTTTGTCTGGAAGACTTTGCTGTTTTTTCCTGGATTTTTCTGTTGCGCAGTCACTTTAAGATGTTCCTTGTTCATGTTTTTGTTTGTTGCGGTTGCACCCGAGTCAAGAGCCGCATGGCTCACAGGGCTATACCTAATCAATGAAACTGAAACAATTATAATTACCGACATTCTTCGGATTATAAGACGCACCTCACCCCCATCCCCCTGTATTTGAAATAAAGCATTGGGGAGTGCCTCTTATAATCTGGTAGATGTGTAATCATATTGGTATAAAGTTATAGACACCGGGCGCAATTTTTGCTATGTATCTTTCCAACAGCTTCAAATGCGGATATTGCAGTAATATGATTATTGCACGTGCTTAAAGGGGAAACATAGTGGGACAGCAGCAGAATTTGTTTCATTATGTAAAAATTGGTGTTTTACTGGAGACCATATCCTGGCCACACCCAAACCTATCCCGCGGAGAATGCATCTTCACTGACAATTACTCGACCGTATTTCATTGATTTGGTTAAAAAAAGACCATTCCACACCCACTTATACCAAAAAGCCATCGGTCATATCTTGCACCGCACAGGCAATCGCGTGCAGGACCTTGCCTGAAAAACAAACATGATTTAACACCCCGTGTCGTTTTTATGTTCGCACACACCAATAAAACATGTACCGATTATCTTCCACGATGGGTCACCCTGTGCCACTGAACAATGGCAGAGTCAACACGGAGCGTTGCCCCTCTCGTCAGATTACTGGCAACATCGTCACCCATTCTCCGTCAGCTCAGAATTAACAATCTTTATTTACACTGGAGGAATCCGATGAGCTATGAAGATATTTTTTTACATATGTCCAGTAGGGGAAGGATTCTTCTGTGCTGGCAAATCAGCTCATTCATCTTTCGCAACGACAATTTGACATGTATTCTTCGACTCTGTAAGACTTTAACTGTATTGCTTTAAAATCATCACCAGACGATTCATAACAAAATATGTGCACGTTACAGGATGCACGTTACATTGTATTCAACAAAAACAACATCATGTTAGATAGCATCTAAATGTAAACGCATCTCAAGACATTTTACAGAAAACAAAATACACAAAACCTACATTCGGGAAGAATTTGGATGGTGGCGGAGGTAGGCAAAGTTGAGAGACACAGATAGAGAGAGAGAGAGACACAGAGAGAGAGAGAGATAGAAAGGAGAGAGAGAGAGAGAGACAGCTTTAGCGTGCGACACAGCCCAAGCCTCAGGGGCAGGCAGGGCAGCAGCGTCAACGAGTGCCGGCTCGAAGCACTGTGGTGTCGCACGTCGTCCCGGATGTTCCCGATCTCGTCACATCTTCTGAAGCTCAGCAGACTCGAGCGTGCGCAGTGCTGGTGAACGGGTGACCACCCGTTCACCAACAGGTTGCCAAAGGTCACGTGAAAATGACTTCCGGTTGCCGAACGAATGCATTCATAAGGTCGCGCGCTCAATTACGCATAAAGTGGTTTTGCCACGAATGAACAACACTACCTTGCTCATCTCGTCAAGGAGCAGAAACCATCACGCCAACTCCGGTCATCCTCACAGCACCGGCTTTTCGCTGCCAGCCATTGAACAAAGACGGGTGGTCGCCGCATCGCGCTCTTTCAGATGCTTCTGCGGCCGTCTGGAACGCTCTTCCTTTCCGATATTAGGAAGCCACTCAAGCGATGCACTTTTAAATCATCCGGATTGAAAAACGAATTTCTTTGGAACTCCCTCACCCCCACCCCCCTTCCGCGCCTCCGCTTCGCACGGTTGGCTACGTACGGTGCGAAATAAGTTCAGCATACATGCGTGGTGGGCAGAAGAAGGCAGAGTGGATCAACATCGTTCAGCACGCACTGACCCACCCGCTCCTATCCCACCTTCACCAACCCGGATTGACCAGCCGTGGGAGAAGTCTCCATTCATCAGCGGATTGACCGACGTGCACAAATTGTTCAGAACGCTTGAACAACTGCACCCGGCCAAATGGAAGCGGCGTGTCTGTTGAACGCACGATGGGTAAACACTCACTCACTATACTCTCCAGATTCGCAGTCATGGGGATGGCGGGCATCGCCTTAGCCCCGGGACAAATGTGTATTTTAAAAAAAATTATATTCCAAACGCCACTGCCACGTTAAAGCCTCCTTGTTCTCCACTATTTGATGAAGATGCATTGTCGGGACTTGAGTCCCTCGTGACTGCATACAGATTCTGCAGGGGGTGGTGGTGGGGGGGCTGACTCTGTTGATGTTCTGCATGGGCAGGGCTACAATAATAATTTTCAGGATGCTTTATATTGTGAGGAGTTAAATATAGAAATAGGTAACACCGAAGGCGTTTATAGAGACGCGGGCAGAATGCGGTCGTTTTATTTTAAGTGCAAAAATTAATGCACATTGCACGGTCTGTTCCAATTCATCAATGTGCATACACTCCACGCCTCGTCAATTAACTTGCATGCGTTCATCACCATCGGCCTTGGTAAATCCACTGCTGGATGAAGGCCTCCCCCAAGTCGCCGCTATCTATCACGACCACGCGATGCAACGATCCACCAAACACGGGCTGATTCCGTCGATCCATCTCCACGGTGGACGAGGATTCTCTCGTATGTGTTCCGTTCCTTTATACAGGAGCAGAACACTCAAATTCAAGGTCTGGACATCGAACATAACCATGCTGCATGCATACAGCATGACAGTATTGTACACACGCAGTATATAAGAACAATAACCGTAAATTATACAAATGATGCGATGTTAACGTTAAGCATTCTGGTGAAAATGTGCATCAAACTATTATGAAGTAATTATACGTCCATGACCAGTACTCTCGTCAATGCACTGCTGGATGAGAGTATCTCCACGCCGTGCAAGATCGTAAGTGTTGTTTGACCATACTTCACTACGCTGGGCAGCACGGGTTGGTGAAGGCGGACAGTATAGACGCGTGGCCATAGGGAGTGCAGTACAACAATGGATTTTTTTTGCACTGCCCTCTGCTAACAAAGTAACAACGCAACAGTCTATAAAATATGTTCCCATGAGCGGTGGCCGCCCATCCAAGCACTGGCCAGGCATATAAGCCAAGATATGAAAAGAAGAGGCATTCCGGGTGATTGCCATAGCCTAACACGGTAATTACAGCCTGTGATTTAACAAAGTGATATGCTTACTACGTGGCTTATTATAACTATACTCAAGAGGAATGTCGTCTGGAGTGTCATGAATGCGTGTACTGTGTTGTGGTTGTCATGTTTCAACGTAACCCTGCCATAGCAATGTGGAATTCCCACCACCGGTGTATGCAGGCAGGGCTGGAAACTTCCCTGCGCTCGCTTGAGTCGGAAACTTGGCCCTTTTTTTCCTCCCCTTTCAGAGTCCAGATCTTGAAATGCATAAACGATCATTAACCACTCAATCGGATGCCGCATAATAGTACAAACACATCGGGTACCACGCGAACCTCCCTCCCCTTAACTGCGGAAAACAAAACTCTGCCAATGACCTAACAACAACGAGACCCCCACAAATAACCTAAAACACACAAAGACCGCAACCACAGCACCCCCACCCCGTAATACCGTCACGACGACGGGCAGTATATAAGTGCTAACATAAGAACATACCTGTCAACCCCTTACCAGTGTCAATTCAGACCTAAGTGGTCACCACGTGCCCTTATAAATCTCAACGTTTATCCTATAAAGTCACATCACAAGGAAGAAACACAAACACATAGACATTTTTTTTGTTGTTTTGGAGGTCGTCCATAAATGACGTCACGCGATTTTGGACGATTTTTGACCCACCCCCCTCTCTCGTCACACGGCGTCACAAAAAGTCAGACCACCCCCTCAAATATGACGTCACAAAGCTCTGCCCCCCCCCCCCGAAAACCATTTTGAAAATAAAACATGCTTCAAATCGCTTTAAACTATTGTCATTGTAGTGCGTATTTAATGTGGCGCTGCACTCTGATGTTATAGGAGTGTTGTTATAACAATTCTATATTTATTTAAAGTTGCGCATTCTGATGTGACGTCACATTTCTCAAACCCCCCCTCCCTCGTCACACATCGTCACAAATGTCTGACCCCCCACCTAGGTGCGTGACGTCATTTATGGACGGCCCCTTGCCCGTATTGAAACGGCTGTACGCCGTATGGACCTGCAAACTCAATTTGCCTGTACCAAGAGTACGGGGTATAAGCCGTACGGGTTGACACGGTCTGTGAAAGGTTCGAGCGAATGTGGTGGGATCGGTGCGTGCGGTGCATGCGACAGACGGTTGTGGTGGAGGGGGTGGTGGGCGGGGGTGGGTGGAGGAGGTGGTGGGCGGGGGTGGGTGGAGGAGGTGGTGGGTGGAGGTGGCGGACGGGGGTGGGTGGAGGAGGTGGCGGGCGGGGGTGGGTGGAGGAGGTGGTGGGCGGGTGGAGGAGGTTGGGGGGAGGAGGTGGCGAGGGGCGGGGGTGGGTGGAAGAGGGGAGGGGCGGGGGTGGGTGGTGGAGGAGGAGGGGAGGGGCGGGGGGTGGGTGGGTGGAGGAGGAGGGGCGGGGGTGGGTGGGTGGAGGAGGGGAGGGGCGGGGGTGGGTGGAGGAGGGGAGGGGCGGGGTGGGTGGAGGAGGGGAGGGGCGGGGTGGGTGGAGGAGGGGAGGGGCGGGGGTGGGTGGAGGAGGGGAGGGGCGGGGTCAGTGCCGCAGCATCGCGCGCGCGCCGGCGGCGGCGGTGGGGGTCGCGGTGGACGAGGCGAGGAGCGGCAAAAAACTCCCCGAGGCTGGGTGGGTAAAGAGTAGCAGGAGGAGGAGGGGGGTGGAAAGCGAAGACGGAGCAACTGCGACTGGTCACGAGCCTGGAAGATTAAATTGTAAAGATACTAAACAACAACAAAGGGAGGAGGAGGAGGAGGGTAAAATAGAGGGGGAGGAGGTTGAAAGAGAGAGAGGCGGTGAAGGCGAGAGAGGGCAAGGCGAGGAGGAGGAGGAGGAATGCCCATGGACTACACGTAGCGGGGAGCCGCGCTCGGCGCAAACCCCTCGCGCCCTCAGGTAAGAGAGAGGAGAGAGAGAGGGAGCGAGAGAAATAAGAATAAACAACATTTACTCACTTAACCACCGCGGACATCGAGAGCAATCCTAACAATTATAACCACGGCGCCGCTTGGAACAAAGTTGTGCTAATTTAGAAATGAGGAGAGAGATCCCCGGCGGGGGGCTGATGCCGGGCGTGAAGGATGAGAGACGGCGGAGGGGTGAGGACTCTGCGCTCTGCCGTCGAACTTCGCGTCGCCCCTTCGGACGGCGAATTAACGCGAACGTTTAAGTGCAGAGGCATTGGCGCCTAGATGCGTTGGTGGTGGTGGTGGGGGGGTTTCCTCGCTCCGCCGTGGAGATTTAACGTAGCGCCGTCGTTTGCTCGGCTTTCAACGCGACATTTATTGCGAGCGAGCGCGGTTGAATCTCGTTGAGGCCTTCCTCCCCCCCCCCGCCCGCGCGAACCCCCCGTGCTCGGCTAGCGGAGCTACGGCCCGAGGAGCTCGCTGGCCCGGCCAGAGCAACCAGCCGAGGCCGGTGTGGCTCGGAAAGGCGATGTTGAAGGGGCGCAGCGTTTAACGCGGTGGTAAAGAATGATAATGAAATCATAATAATGGTAATTATGATGATGATGATGATAATCACTGTCATGACAAAGTTAAGGCGCTAAATACAATACATTAAATAATTTAAATAAAACGTTACATCGTGGAACTCTTTTTTTTTAACCCCGATGTTTGCCATTACATTTTTTGTAAAGTTTTTTTTATTGTATTGAAAATGTATTTACGTTTAATGTCGTCGCTTGTTTGTATTGTCATTTAATTTGAATTCTATTCGCGTCAAATGGCATACTTGCTTCGTCGCATTTTCCCTTTAAATTACTATTCTACGTGCGTGTGACGCGCTCTGCGATCGGGTGGTGGTCAAAAAGTTGTGAGAACGAGATAAAAAAAATATTCGACAAATAAATTGGGCATCCAATTAATTAACGTATCGACTCGGAGCACAATCGCGTACAATATTAGTGCATTATAATATGTGGGGGGAGGGGGGTAGGATTTTAACTTAATATATACTGTAGTTGTGAAACCGTGTTTTGAAAATTAATATCCCCTCAAAACCTGTTGACCGCGCCTCAGAATATACCATCGCGGAATTGTATACTGGAGTGGATATTTTGTTTATATTAATTATATTTGTTTACTGATTGTATTTTATTTAAAGCATAGCCTTTTCCCGAAACCTTTTGCCGTTCACAAGTTCTCCAGCGAATTACAACAGTGGCTGGCATTGTAACGATTATAATCACATGCTTTATGTTGTGCCTAAATGCGAATAAGAGTTTACACGTTACATTTGACAACATCGTTTATAGCGTCTCCGTGGAGGACATCGGAGGGCAGTGCAACAAAATCAATTGTTGCACTGAACTTCTATGCGTCTTAAAGCCCCCACGACCGCACCCGCATGGGAGGACCTCATCCAGCAGTAAAATGACAAACGCATTTTGTATGTAATGGGTTAACTTCATCACTCCAGCCACTGGAGGCTGCTACGTTCACAACAATGTAAACAAAAAAATATTCTCCCTACATGACCCTGCATTTAATCGTGCGGTATCATAGAGGTGGATATGTACACTGTTGATGCTGCCATGGAGTAATGGTTGGCACACAGAGTTTGCAATCCGGAGATCACTGGTTGAAAATTTAAGAAAAGTTGATTCCATCCCCCTCTCTACCTCTTGACATCCACAAGTATGAATGGGGCTACGCCACAGTCGTTTGGCTTTTGGTAGGTCACGTATCTGGTGATAAAGTAAATGTGCAAAGTCGCACATCTTTAAAGACGTCTCCCCAGCATCTTAAAGTAGTCCCAGATACTCTTTAGAGGGTCTCTCTACGTCCCCCTCTCGTGAAAGCCTTCCCACCAGTCGTGACGTGAGCAAACAATTGCAGTGCTGCACCTTAATTGTACACTGTATAAAATACATTGCAATGTGGTTATTCACTCCAGGTATTATAGCACTTAGGTGCGTTGTGGTTTATCACACTGTGTTTGTGTGTGTGTGCGCGTGGAGACAACAATGGCCACGCTGGGCAGTGAGGTCCTGTACGACACGCGGGGCCATGGCGGCGTCTCTGTGAGGCTGACCCGCGCCAGGGTCAGCAGCTGCTGCTCGGGCGACTCGGCCTCGCGACCCGGAGGGCGCCTCCACAGACGCCACCGACGCCACCGTCTGCCCCAGCTGTTTGAGCGTGCCGCCGCCAGCTGGTGGAACCCCAAGTTCGACTCCCTGGAGCTGGAGGCGGCGTGCGAGCAGCGCTGTTACCCACAGACTCGCCGTCGCTTCCGCTATGCCCTGGCCTACGCGTCGGCCGCGTGCCTCCTTCGTGCCCTCACGTACGCGTTGGACTGGGATGCACGCAGGGCGGCGCGCCTCGCCCCCGCGCTCTCCTTCCTGCTGCTGTGCGCCGGGCTCATGGCGCTCACCTTCTTGCGTGCCTATGAGCGGCGACGCGCCGTGCGCGAGGCGCTCGCCGTGCTCCTCTTCGTGGCGCTGGCCGGTGCCTCCCTGGCGATGGCGGCGGCGCTCGTGCCCGCCCGTCCGTTCCTGCCACCGGACCTGTCGCCCGTGGGCAGCTTCGCGGTGTGCGTCGAGGTGCTGCTGCTGCTGTACACGGCCATGCCACTGCCGTTGTATGCGTGCGCCCTGCTCGGGCTCTCATACTCGGTGCTGTTTGAGGTGGTCGGGCAGCTTTGGAGCACGGGGCTGCTGCTCCCCAACGTCAGTGCAGGCTGGCTGTCACGGGCCCACACGGAAGGGCTGGCAGCCACGGTAGTGGGGAAGGCGTTCCTGCACTTGTGCATCCACGCCATAGGTATCCACATCTTCATTATGTCGCAGGTGCGCTCGCGCAGCACTTTCCTCAAGGTGGGCCAGTCCATCATCCACGGCAAGGAGCTGGAGGTGGAGAAGGCGCTCAAGGAGAAGATGATTCACGCCGTGATGCCTCGCATGATTGCCGATGAACTACTGCGGCAGCAGGGGGACGATGACTCCGAGGTGTCACCCCGGCGCTGTGTCGCCCCTGGTTGCCCGGTCGCCGCCGCGTCTGCAGCGGCGGCAGCAGCAAATTCCTCGGCGTCGGCGCCGACAACCGCGAGCAACCCCGGTCCTCGCAAGAAGAAGAAGGGCTCTATTCCGCGGGAGCAGCTGCCCTTCCGCCCATTCACCATGAAGCGCATGAGCGAGGTGAGCGTGCTCTTCGCTGACATCGTCGGCTTCACCAAGATGAGCGCCAACAAGTCGGCGGCGACGCTCGTGCGCCTCCTCAACGATCTGTTCGGCCGGTTCGACAAGCTGTGCGAGGTGACGGGCTGCGAGAAGATCAGCACGCTCGGGGACTGCTACTACTGCGTGGCGGGCTGCCCCGAGCCGCGAACCGACCACGCCGCGTGCTGCGTGGAGATGGGACTCGGCATGATTGCCGCCATCGAGCAGTTCTGCCGCGACAACCGCGAGACGGTGGACATGCGTGTGGGCGTGCACACGGGCACCGTGCTGTGCGGCATCCTGGGCATGAAGCGCTTCAAGTTCGACGTGCTCTCCAACGACGTGAACCTCGCCAACATGATGGAGCAGCTGGGCGTCGCGGGCAAGGTGCACGTGTCTGAGGCCACGGCGCTGTGCCTGGACGAGCGCTACACCATGGAGGACGGGCGGCTCTTCGAGCGCATCGGCCCCAACGCGGTGCTCGCGGAGCAGCTGAAAGGTAAGGCCCGGCGCCATGGCCCTCGTCCTACTTTTGCTTTCATTCTCACTGTTCATGCAAAGTTTATTTGTCATTGTGGTTTGCTGAGCATGCAGCCAGCAACAAACGGTGTTGCTGAATTGTAGTAGATAAGAGCGAATGTGGATTGAGCAAAGTTGTAACATAAGAGGCTAATGGGAAGGTATTTCAAAGTCGAACAGTGCGAGGAAATAAGCAGAAAGAGAGACGTGTTGCGACATGCAGTGTGGTCTTTGAACACAGTGATGAGATGAAACGGTTGGTCCGGTAGACCCAAGTCCTCGACATGAGTGGAGGATTCGATGAGTGACGTTCATGGGAACGGCAACCGCGATCATGCAAGAGAATAAGTTATTTGCTTGAATGCGATTTGATAGAATGCAAGGGTTTCATGGTTCAAATATAACATGTTCTTTCACGCTGCATGGGTTTGCCTGATGTAATTTGGATATTAATAGCTCATGTGATGTCATTCTCAAGTGTAGGTTGAGTGTGTGCAGGTGTAATGGCTCAATATCCTACACCGCAGGTAAGAAAATGGAAACAATTGGTGATTGTTCTCTCGTAATGCACTTGCCAGAGTGAGAAGTCTCTTTGCTGAGCTAGGATGGAGGTTAATCGTAGGCTTAGAATAGCCACAATAGTTAAAATACTAGAAGCTGGTATTGATTGATGTGGGAAAACCGTTGCATAATATTCATACATACATATTTGAATGTATAAAATCCCATCATAAAACTGAAATTATTGTTCGGCTACTGCTATGAAAGCTATGCACGCAGCACAGATAAATAAAAAAAACATGAAGTATTCAGGGCGAACATAAAATACAAATGCATATACATAAAGTAGGTTGAGTCGTAACAAACAGACACACACAACTTGATTGAAAACAGTGGTAGCTGGGCGACTTATTTACACGATGCCCGTGTAAGGATCGAAGCCATTTCCACCGAGGTCCTGACTCAAATATGAGGTTTTTAAATGCTAGTTTAGGCAGTTGAAACTCTGTGTTTCTTTAAATTAAAAAATATGTAACCAGTGTTTCAGAGTAAAACTATCAACTCAACACAGGCAGGTGCCCCTTTCTTAAGTTGCCGAGGCTGGTAAGGAACAAAAAAAAGCTGTTGACCTTGGGTGAACCCTCGGATGCTTTGAGCCACTGTTCTCATCAAGAGCCCCATGTTTGTACATCCAGTGACGCTGGTTCAAGTCCAATGTGCAGTGCTCGATTAACTGCCGTGAATGCCTGTACAGTAAAGACAAGGAGATGTCCTCTTTGAAGCCCTTACTTAATGGTGAAATCCTGACAAAGGCTGTTGCCTTGAAAGAGAGGGCTGTGTCTCTGTCCATGGAATTAACCGGTACTGCTTAGGTTGCTGGGTTTAAATCTTGCACTCCCATAGCAAGGAAATAATCATATTTTCCCATCAGTCGTGTTACCAATGACTGTTTGCAACAAAACAGCTCATCCTAAAATGTAGATTTTCTTACAAACTGACCATATCCCGTTGGCCATACAGAAACAGGGCTTGGAGCAAGCGAACCACATTTTTTGCTTCCTCAAGTAAGTGGGGATCCCTGCAGAGCAGCTAAGAGAAATTACTGAAGAGTTGTTTGGAAAACTCCAGTGCACACATAAAAAGAGGCCTCGTTTTTGGTTGGCTCAGAGTCGCTCAGCTATTGAAAGGGGCTTCTGAAAGCGGAATTGCACGTTGCTTTGTAATCTGGCTGCCGCGTGTTGGCAAATTATTTCTTTTTTTTGAAAGCCAAATATAAAATAGCATTAAAAAAATTCAGCCTATTGCACCTGGTAGGTCTTTCTTACCAGGACAGGCAACACTATGCTATTTGTTGTCTGTACGGGATGACGATTTAAAAAAAAACAATTGCAAATAGTTTTTTAGGATGTGCTTGATCAAATGTGGCAGGACATGTCAGTTGTTGTCTATGTTTCCCATGATGGTTGGCTTGAGCTATTGCTCTTCAGTTAGACCAGCTGTGCTGGGGGTGGGGGGAAGAGCAGGATTCACATGAAGATTAAAACACGGACGTTTTGTGCAAATACAGTACAGGATACAATCCCTCCCCCTTCAACGATTCAAGTTCATTGGGCTGTGTTGTGTTTTTCTTAAAATGGCCGTTCGCAATAAAAAAACGCGCTGTAAAATGCAGTTGGAAGACAGCACAGGATTGTGTGGCCGGTGACACCTGTCAATAGGTGTCACGCGCGCCTTTCCTGTGCTCGAGGTCATTGGCGAGGATTGTTGTCCTCCAAAATGGGTCGTATAAGCGGCCATGTGTCTCTTGACTCTCCGCTCAACTTCCATTTGATTGGTTTTTATTTCGGTCCCAGCATTTGGTTGAGCACGGATTGTCCACGTGCGCAGCTCTTAGGTCGTTCACACTCGTGATGATCACCACCAACAGTAACCCTGTTCATGGGTATCGGCTCGCAGCCTTTTTAGTTTGGTGATTCCAGTGCGAGATGGGTATTTGACCACGTATAATTGAGACCACGGGGAAAGAATACTATACATTATTTGAACCACGGGGGTACGAAACATGTTATCGCAATATGACACTGCCCGGCAAAACACCCCCTCCTCTGACCCCCCCCCCCCTTGCCCGGTTACGGTTAGCATTACAAACTAAACTACCACCAATATAATTTTCTGACCCCGGGGTCAGGACTCTACATGGATCAATGTAGTATCTCAGACCAGTACATCTGCACGTTTGGACATAGACCCTGCTAGTCCTCCTTGATTCAATGTCTAGTTCAGCTCTGTGATTGTTGAGCTTTTTGTCAGTCTCTGGAAGCCTAAGAATCAGCTTCTGTAAAGTGCAGGAGTCAATTGCAGCCAGACGTTACAATTCACGGAGTAATTATTCCTAGTATTTTCACGAGAGCGACTGTAATTGTGTCATTACAGAGTGTGGACTAATTGGTAATGGGCAATGCAATTGCGATTATGCAGGCTTTCTTTGCGTTTGGGAATGGCCATTGTTCTGTAATTACGTGCATTGCAGCAATTATGCATCTCATACTTAATTTTGGATGTAAATGCTTTCTCGCCCTGCCCGTAGGTCACGCTCTCGTTAAGCCAAGATGACTATTTTGGTAACACTGGAGTGTGGAATTAAAATGTAAAAGGGCATTTTGAATAGCCCGATTATTAATAACAACGAGCCATTGTGCCATTTCCATGACCGTGTTTGCGATTGGCTGGGTTGCGCCGTTTAGCGGGCCTCGGCACGACACTGGCTGTGTGCCTTCCGAGTGTAACCCACCCAACTTGCACTCTCGCTTGCCACCACAATTCGCATTCTACAGGAGTCACGCCACTTGCTATCTGGTGCGCACAGAGTTCTCTTCTCTCCCTTCGTGGATCAATAAGTGTAATCCATCGGTAATGTTTCTGTAGCAAACTCGTGATGTTTTTTCTGCAATTAATATTTGATCACATGGAAGTGTCCGTAAAGGTATCATATCTATCGTTAAAGAATCATAAATGGACGGCAAGTTTGAACTGCGTCCCAGGTATCTTTTCAGCATTCCTGACGTATATTAATAGTGTAAACCGACGCGTATTGGTGAGCGAAGCATTTATAATAATCGTGCCAGAGATGTCGGGACGCTCGAATCTTGATATGACGTCCGCCGCCTATACCACAGCAGACGTGTGGAGGTTTAGAGGGAGGAAACTCGTACGATTACACCTTCTTGCTACAAGCGTGTGTGTGTGTGTGTACATCGCTTTTTTTCCAACCTAGCTCAAATCGTTGTTCCATTTGTAATTATCTGATAATGGATGATTCCATTATGAGCACCCTGTAGGTTACACGTGCCACTTGTGCATAAGCAGTCTTGTATCAGTCGTGAAGCCACTTCACGTTAAATTAATTTGAAAAGCTTGGACCCACGTGGCTTTAGAGGTGTTTTGGGCTTGGAGCTGTTTAGATTTCAGGGAGTTGGCTTTCGTGACGAGTGTGTGCGTGTGTGGTGGTAAATGGATAATGTTATTATTCATTCCTGTACACGCGGGAGACTTGAGTTAATGTGGCTATAGTAGACATTGCAGCAATGTCTTCGCAGTAGTATTGTTGAAAAATAATAGACAGTATACAGGAATGTTTAGTATGTAACCTGTAGTTTAAAAACAGCATCATAAAATATATTGTTTTGAACTTTTCTTAAAAAAGACAAAAATCATTATCCGTATGCATTAGCACTATTAATATATGTATGTGTGTATATATACGTGCTAAATTCGCTCAATTGTCATTTCTACTGTTCATATTTATCTTGAAGCCCACTGTGCAGCCTTCTTATTAGGTTCTCATATTATTCTGGAAATAGCTTGGGTGTCATCATCTTGAAACGAAGATGGTAGGGAATGAAAGAGAACAAGATCATTGTCTTTTGTTGATTTCCATGGGTTGTTATGACCGTCACCAGATAATGTGAAATAGCTAATGTTCTAACCATTTTATATTCATCGTTTTGTTTCGCCAAATCGTTTAACAAGCATTGTGCAGTTAATTCGCGAACAAATAAACTAAACTAAAACTATTTTTTTTATTTTAGCAGGTAAGGCCCACTTGAGCTATATAGCTCTTTTTCAGAAGCGGCCTGACCACAAATGATAGCTCAACAAGGTGGCTTATCATGTGGATTTTATAGCAGCCAAATACTCTAAACGCACGTTTCTTAATGTGGAGGGAAAAACCGAAGGACCCAGAGAAAAATCCACACAACCACGGGGAAAATATGCAAACTCCAAAAATACAGCCGTCAGTGTCAGGATGGAACCCACAACTACCTGCATAGCAGGCGAGGGAATTAACATCTTGTCAGAGGTGGTGCAAATGGAAAACGCATCAGAATATTTATACCCACGATAGTTGTTGAAGGTAGATCGAAATACAATTAACAAATATGGGGCAGACAAGATCACATTGAAGTTCCTTTGGAAAAC